CTAGAAAAATGTAGCTATTGAAAACAGACTAGAAATGATCAATATACATCCCAAGATACAAAAGACTGCAGCAAACTATAGAATAGAGTCAATTTCCAATGCAAGCAAAATTATGCTCAAAATTCTGTAACATGGAATCCAATCATATATGGAGAGAGAAATCTCAGAGATACAAACAAGGTTCAGGAAAGGAAGATGCACTAGAGCCCACACTCCAAACATACAATGGCTAACAGAGCATACAAAGTAATTCCAGGAAAAAATCAGCACACACTTTATAGGCTATGCATAGATCACAAAAGACTACGGATTGCTCTAAGAGACATAGGAGTGCCACATCTGATAGTCGTGATGTGAAATCTGTACTGTGAGAAGAAGGCTACAGTTAGAACAGAATATGGAGAAACAGAATGGTTCCCAATTGGCAAAGGGGTCAGGCAAGGCTCCATACTATCACCCTATTTGTTCAACATGTATGCAGAAAATATCATAAGAAGAGCAGATTTAGAACAGACGGAGGAGTGAGGATAGGAAGAAGGAACATCAACAACTTCAGATACTCAGTTGACACCATGCTAATAGTGGAAAACATCACAGACTTGGAAAAATTACTAAGGAAGGTCAAAGAAGAAAATGCAATGCAATGCTTAATGTTGAACATAAATAAAACAAAAATAAAAATAATTACTATGGAAAAACTACACAAATTCAACCTAGATAATGAGGAAATCAAAATAGTTAAAGGGTTCCCATACTCATATCAGAATGGAGACAGCAGTCAAGAAATCAGAAGAAGACTTGGAATGGGAAGGGCAGCTATTAAATCCTAAAATATAAAGGTATACAATGAGCACTAAAATTAGAATAATCTAAGCTGCTGCATTCCCCAACACCATGTATGGATGTGAGAGCTGGACAATGAAGCAGGTGGATAAAAAGAAAATCAAGTCATGGGGTCAACTCAAGGGCAGTTAACAACAAACAAGCTATTGACTATGCAGAAATATTAACAATTATCATGCACACAAATACATGTGCACATGGACACACATGTGTGTACACATAGAGCATGGGTAAGAAAGAAATACATATTGGTAAAATTATGACTAAATTGTACCTGAATCCCATAATTTTGCTTCCCTGAAAAACCTTATCAAATAAAAATCAGCTTAGTCAAATCCTGGCTAATAAAATAATGAGCAATTTTAGCTATGCAAAATCCAAGATAAAATGATCATCCAATCAATAGAATATAATCTTTTCACTCAGCATTGTCATTCCACCATGCCAAAAGTTGCAACCATTGGACCATTCAACCATTAAGCACATTTTATAGAAAAATGCAAATACCATAGCACTAATAACTTCCTCTATTCTTTACACATTATCATCACTTATGACCCAATTGCTAACACAGTATGATCTGGAAGTGAAGGTTTCATTTTTAGACAAACTTTAAAATGAAAGTTTAAGAGAAGGTACTTTGGAAGACTGTCACAATACAGTGTCAAGTACAAACTAAGGGCCCAGATAAATGAGAAAACACATTCATGAATGTTTAAATTAATTTGATAAAGTTACAGGCACAATGACATGCTCATTAATCTACAGCCTGTAAATATTGATAGATTCCACCAAATCCTGCTATAATTTTCATTTATACCTAAAAAGTAGGAAGAAAGGGGGAGAAAGGAAATATGGAAGCACTTTAAACACACTTCTTCAGATGCAATACCAAGTGATATTAAGGCCTCAATTATAAAACATATTTATATAGTTATGGGAGTGGATTAGAATGTAATAGGATCCAGAAAGAAGGAAAGCAAAGGGTGTGATCTTTGATTAGAGATGTATTGCTCACCAGCTCACCCTCCAAATTAGTTATTGGAGAGTTTAATTCACCAGTGCTTCCCCCTCCCCATTTATTTTCTCCTTTGCTGATTAATGGTGACAAAGATCCCAAGAAGGATTTTTTTAAGGGAACATGTGGAAGGAATTTGTGGGAATTTGTCACATATCTATTCTGCTAGTGGATAATGATTGCAATTCTGGGTACATTTATTCAGTATCAAGAACAACTGGGTGTTTCTGAATTCATTTCAAATGAGCTATCACATGGCTTATAATTTTAATTTTTTTGGGAAAGTCATAATCTAAATAAATAGGATTCCCCCTCTTGTAATCTCAATGAACATTCTCCCTTTTTCATGCCCTGGGGTGAAAATCCTGACGTACATAACTGCAGACACAGCTAGCACTTTGAAGATGGTAACTGGTTAATATCAGCTGTTGATCCTATCAGTTTTTATGCAATCTCAGGAAGCTGTGTAGGTCAAAATATGTAACTAGGGCAGGACAAAACATGTCTCAAGGAAATCTCTTCAAGAGGAAAACAAGTCCTGTTTCACAATGCTAGCTTCTAAAAAGCCAAGATGCTTCAAGCTGTCTGCTTTGCATGTATGTGCTTCCCCACTTGTAGTCTACATTGATTTTTACAGAGAAACAGAAGCTTATGTCTAGTCCTTCAAAAATGATAAGTTTGGTCTGAGTAATCAATCCACTTTCAAACTGTGGCTAGGAAAGACTACTGCTCATGATCTAATCTGTGCAAATTACTAATATTAGACCAGAATGACATCTCAGGAATGTTTAGCCTAAATCCAGTCACTACTCCTTATTCTAACAGACCTACTGAATTAAAGGCAGAACAGGGGTAGGCAACCTTTCCCCTTTAAGGGCTGAGGGACTTCAGCTCTCAGAAGCCTCAGCCATGTTAGCCAATTGTCCCATGTTGGCCAATAGCTCCTGGGATTCTGGGAGCTGAAGTCCTTTGGTCCTTAAAGGGGAAAGGTTGCCTACCCCTGAAACATAAATCCAATCGATTCAATGAGTCTACTTCAGTTGGAACTTGAGAGTTGGATTTAAGCCTTTCTAAACATTCACTTGTATTTCACTAAATGACACCTTTTTTCAGTGAAAGGAAATACTCTTGGAGGTCAATAGAAGAACAAATTGCTTATCTTATGCAAAAAAACTCAAACTGTCGTCTCTCCAAGACAGGGCTGGACAGCTTGTGAAACTTCAGATGCTATTAGACCACACTTTTCCATCAGTCTTTGCCTGCATAACCAATGGCAAGGAATGATAGGAGCAGCAGAAGGGAAACACCTGAAGAGCCACATTGCTCATCCTGAAAAAGAAAGCCCCACATCAAATATGTCACTTATCTGGTTGAAAAGACTAGGCAGCAGGTGAGTATGCCCTAAACCAATGGTTCCCAAACTTTGGTTCTCCAGACTTTTTGGACTTCAGTCTCAGAATTCCCAACTAAGCTGGCTGGGACATCTGGGAATCCAAATTCAAAACACCTGGTGGACCAAAGTTTGGGAACACTGGCCTAATCAGACCGAACACATTGGCCTAGAGAATCTCCAATTTACCAGCTCTTAAAAGAAGAAAAGAGTTAAGAAAAAAGAAGAAGAGATTGATGAAAACATCTTAATCTGAGTTTGTTCAGGTGTCCAGGCTGAAGATGTGAACACTTGGGGGGGGGGGGGGGGGGTAGGAAAAATTGAGGATAAAAAGACTTATTCTGGTATTAAAGGGGGGAGACCCAATTCCCTCTCCCCACTGCAGGCTTTTTACTATACTTCATTAGGTCAGCATGCAAAGGGATCTTGTAGCACCTTTGAGACTGAGCCATAAAATTCCTTTGTATGCTGATATTCCAGACTAACAAGGTGATATCTCTGAATTCTACCTTCATTAGATTAGCTGGTTGATATATTTCATTCTGTTTGACAGCTGGATCATCAGTCAGTGTCTAAAGCCACTGTGCCACCTTTCTAGAGACATTGTCGACTGTCCTGCTTGACAACTACAGCAACATTCCTTCTCTTTGAACTCTGACCAAGTTCCCATAAATATCACCCCCTCACATGCCCAATAGTGCCTACAAAAGGCAATGTTTTAATAAATGTGTTAGCTGCAAGGAGCTCTAGACCTCACTTGTATTTGCTTCAACAGGAGAACTGGTCCATCCATAATTCAGTAGATGATTCATACCTGTTCATTCACTAAGTTGCTCTAACATTAACCTAATGGCAGGGGGCATCAATCAATACCAATCAAGAATATAAGCAAATGCTACACTACCTTGCAAAACATCCATTATTCAAACTGCAGATTAGCTTGTTCAGTTCAGAATGCCACTTCAGGCTAGTTTTTGCTGTTAATAAGTGTAAGCGAGAAACAAAAATAAGCAACAAATTTTGCTTATTTTAACTGCCAAACTGTCAGCTTTCCTTTACCTCTGCCCTAAAGGCACCAAATCCCACCTAATCTTAGAAGTTAAGCAGGGTCAGCCCTGATTAGCACTTGGATGGGAGACCACCAATGAATACCAGGTGTTGTAGGCTATATTTCAGAGGAAGGAACTAGCAAAACTTCCTCTGAGTATTCCTTGCCTAAGAAAACCCTATGAAATTCATGGGGTTGCCATAAGTTGACATGCGACTTGAAGGTGCACACATACACATACACACACACATACAGATCATGGGAAAATTTCTTTTTTGAATAATAATTTCCAGAATCCCCCAATCAGTTTGGCTAGTGGCCATGCTGTCTGGGGGAATCTAAGAGCTGAGATCAAAAAATATTCTTTCTTAGCTCAGCCCCAGGCAAATAAAAGCTTCTGGTATTAATGCTACTTTGGAAGGGGGTGGGCTAATGGTGCATGTCTACTTGAATTTAGCAGAATAAATAATATAACAACAATGTTCATTTATATCCCATCTTTCCCCCCAGTAATGGGACTTAAGGGAGTTTACTACTTATTGAAAACAGTTGTGTGTGTATGTTGTGTGCCTTCAAGTCATTTTTGACTTATAGTGACCCTAAGGGGTTTTCTTGGCAAGATTTGCTCAGAGGAGATTTGCCATTGCCTTCCCCTGATGCTGAGAGAGTGTGACTTGCCCAAGGTCACCCAGTGGGTATGAAGACCAAGCTGGGAATCGAACCCTGGTCTCCAGAGTCAGAATCCAACATTCAAACCACTACACCACACTAGCTCCTCCTGAAAACAGTACAGATTAAAAACAATACAAAGGCAGCAATTAAAAATTTATAAACATAAAAGTTATTTTTAAAGCAATCTGTAAAATTAGAACCATTAGAATTTATCCAAAACCATATAAACATCAACAAAACAGCATAAGACACCATTAAAAGCCCACCCCAGTCAGTTTCTACAAGTGTACAATGGAATAAGAATAGTTTTACTTGTCAACAGCAGGTGAGAAAAGAAAGTGCCATCCTGGTCTCCTGAGGGAGGGAATTCCAAAATAAGGGAGCAGCCATGTCCCTTGCTTCCCTCTACCAAGACAGAGAGAAGTCCCTCTCCTGAAGATCCTAGAGCTCTAACAGGTTCACATAGGGAATATGGCCCTTTCAACAGCCTGCTTCCTCAAACTGTATAGGGCTTTATAGGTCATCACCAGCACTGGAAACAGACTGGAGCCAATGGAGCTATCGCAACAAGGGAATTGTGTGTTTCCAGCTAACAATGTGGCTAGAGTCTCCAGGGTCATAGTCTAACACTCAAACCACTATGCGATGCTAGTATACTAGCTTTAACTTTGCAAACACATTCCTTGTCACCAATGAACTTGGGCCTTCAGGCTCAGGGCTGAAACCCAAGGTACCTCCAAACTTAAAACCTGTGTATTCAGGAACAGTGTAATCCCATATAGCACAAGCTGAATTTCTATTCCCAAATCTACCTTTTAACTAACCAGGAGCACCTCCATTTTGTGAATTAACCTTCATTTTGTTTGCTCTTATCCAGTCCATTACAGATGCTAGGCACTGGTTTAGCACAGAAAAAGCTGCCTTAGAATTAAGTGGAAAGGCATAATAATAGAGTTTGGTATCAACAACTTATTGGTGACACCTGATCCCAAAACTCTAAACAACCTCTTCCAGTGGTTTCATGCATATATTAAATAGCACAGGGGACAAGACAGAATTGATATTACTCTACTGGGCATGCTGCATACAGTGTCTACAGAGCACCAGTTCCTGCCTGAGACCTCTGGCCTAAAGTTACCTATTTAATTCCTTTTTGCTTTAGATGCTACTATTGGAAAGATGTCACAATTTTTCAAGTTAAGAGCTACAAGCACTTTCTTCTCTTTAAAAACAAAGGCAACAGAAAGTAATAGAAAAAACACCAAGCAGTGCAGTAAGTAACACACTGAGGAACGCCCCTGCCCCAGAAGTTAGGAGAGAGATGGGTTATTTTTCAGAAAATGTAACAAGAGGTAGGAATAAATTATTTCTAAAAGTAGCTTTCTTAAACTGGGTTGCTTTTTAAACCTCTGAACCAAACATGTTAGTTAATGGAGTCAAATCCTACACACCAGGGCAATTCTGCACTCACGATTTTACTACTAACAAGAAAAATCATCAGTTTTCAGTGTCAAGTTGGACAAAAACCCCTGGGTCTGTCCCATTTGCTACCAAAAGATATTGGATTAATTGGAACAACAGAAAAAAACTGTGCCAGAAAAGCCAAAGTAGCCCCAGCTGTCTGGGTTACAACCCACTAGTACAATTAAAGTCACTGGCACTGCAAAATGTACTTATACACTAGGCATGTATTATTTGAGGAATATATCTAAGGCACTGTCAGTATCTACAGTACTTCAAATCAAGTTTCCATTGATTCACATTTGGTTGCTTTTTAAAAGGACAGCCACAAATAAAACCGAATAAGGAATGCACACTGGCTGCTCTTTGCCTAGCTCAAATAATTGGGCTGATTTAACCAAAACTATTCCCTTGTGTGAGTATACCCAATAAAACAATTATGTGCCTGGAGAGATAAGAAAGGCCACGTAGCATTAAAGAGGAATAAATGCATTAAGAAGCAGCCAAGCAGTTAAAGTATCTGACCAGTATATTATATGAGAAGTGCCCTTCAGCAGCTGCCCTGACCTGTGTGGGAACAGTTTTCTGCAACTTACTCCCACATGGAGCAGGACTAATAACATTGGAGCACATCATGGAAAAGTGGGTCTCGTGAAGCCAAGGACTGCTGCTGAAGGGCATCTGAGAGATATTGTAGCAATCAGTAAATTAAACACTGGAATCATAACGCTGAACAATCAGTCAGCTGATTCTATAAGACTGAACAGTCAGCTGATTCTAGTCATGTTCTCTGAATCAACCACAAAATACATCAGACATCTTTCCTCTCCGAAAGTAATCTGGTTACTTTTTGGGTCTGCTACTCCTACAACCAGCATGACCACTGGCTACACTTGCTGGGGAATTCTAGGGGTGGCTGACTAAAAAAGTATAATTTCCAAGGACTGACACACTCATAAAGTAAAAAAGAGGTAGTAATGACAGGTATTGTTTTATACTGGTTACAGTTTGAACTTGGATTGTGGGAAACTGGGTTTAAAATACCTGCTCAGCCATCAGATTTATTTGTTCAATGTCCTTCCTTATCTTTCCCTAACCCTAAACTAATTTACAGTTATGTTGGTTGAATAAAATGGAATAACAATTGTATGCCAGCTAAAGCAAACAGGATCAGAATCTGACTACTGAATGAATATTTAGTGAAATATTCTGGTGGCCAACTCACAAAAACTCTCTTCCATTATAACATCCTGAAATCTGGCCTTCTGTATTTAAAAAGAAACATTTTGATTTTTTAAAGAAACCCACTTCTTTGTAATTAGGGATTTTATAGCTACTCTAAAAAAATCTATGTTCATTTCCATTCAACTCTAAAACAGTATGCACGCACTCAACTTTGTAAAATACACATTACTGAATTATAACCATTCTGTTTTACACATACAATTGCAGATTCACTAAGGTGACAACATTTTTTCAAAACCCCAACAGCTCTTAAGTACTTTAAAACATTACTCTGTAAAATGTTCTGGAGAAATCGTAAGCAGAACATGCTGAGCATTTTCTAAAAAGTCAACATCATTTCAAACCTCATCCATATTTCCTGTGCTTTGCAAGTAGTAAATTTGTCTCTGAGTTTACCACAGTTGCAAGGGCCCCATCTGCTGTTCCTCAGATTAATTCATACTGAGTAGCAGCTTTTTCATTGAGCAATTTCTCAAGATCTACACAGGGAAGAATATTAAGTAAAGACACAGATCCATGAAGTTGAAAGCAGTCTTATAAGAGCTGTGTAGCCAGTGAAAGTAATCTGTAAAACAGGGATGGGCAATTGTGCTGATTCCAGGAGGTCACCTCTGCAGGCCACATGGATTGCCAAGGACGTCCCTCAAACCCAAACAAACTGGAAGATGCCAGAAAACCACTTCTGGTTTTGAAAAATCAGTACCTTTATGGGGAGTTCAACAATCTAATTTAAAAGGTGAATTGCCTCTCCTAGAGGTTTCCAGGAAAGGCAATTCACCCATTTTGGGAAGCCAGAAAAAGTGCAATCTTAGGCAGTCTGGAGGGATAAAAGGCCTCAAAAACAGTCTTGGGGTACAGGTGGCCCTATATGTGCATTTCAATCAACCCTGATGTAATGGGTGGACAATGTGTTAAAGATGCTCATGTGTGCGCACATGCGTACACCTTAAAATCTCCTTTGCATGTCAAAAAAGTGTGTTGTTTTTGTGTGTGCCTTCAAGTCATTTCTGACTTATAGCAACCCTAAGGAGAACCAATAATATAACCTATAAAGAGCCCTGGTTGCGCAGTGGTTAAACGCCTGTACTGCAGCCAGTCACTCACAACCACACTCACAACCACAAGGTTGTGAGTTCAATACCAGCCAGGGCTCAGGCTTCACTCAGACTTGCATCCTTCCGAGGTTGCTAAAATGAGTACTCAGCTTATTAGGAGCAATTAGTTTACAGTTGTAAACCGCTTAGAGACTGCATAGCATGGTATGAAGCAGTATATAAATGAAGCTGCTATTGCTATGATGTCAAGATTTGTTCAGAGGAGATCTGCCATTGCCTTCCCTTGAAGCTGAGAGTGGGTTTCATGGCTGAGCTGGGAATCGAACCCTGGTCTCTGGAATCATAGCCCAATGGTCAAACCACTATGCCACTCTGCCTTTATTGTCAGTGCAACTCCAAATTATTTCTCTGGAAAGATTTTTCTCTCCTTGAAAGTGCTTGGCATCGACAATGAAATGCATCTTTAATTATCTGGGGCACAGATCTTGCAGAGGTGGTAATTAATCTGAGGTGGCTGTCCCAGGAAACTAGTTTTGAAAGAGCAGCAAACTGTTTGTCGCTTCTGTTGCTGCTATGAAAAGGGGAGAGGCACTTGTGGATTTTCTGCCTCTGGTGACAAAATAATTTGGCTATTCTTGAGCACAATGCACTTTAGTGTACAGGGTGGAGAGGGAAGCTGACAGTGAAATATCTTAGGTTGGTCCGTGCTTGGGAAGAAATGTACACAAACAGCCAGTAATAAATAATTTTTTAAAAAATGGGAATAGATTAAAAGGAAACTACACAGCAACCACAAAGCTATTGGAAAAGATACTAGGCAAAGACAAGTGAAGGATGACAAGATAAAAAGAAATCCAGCCTATATGAACCAGGTATGTTGAAGCTTTTCATACCCTGAGGGAGAAATGTGTCTAAGGCTGACTTCAAGCAGAGAGCTTGAGAGAAGAGCCTTGGCCAAAATCAGCTAGTGAACCTCTCTGGTCATCATATTGTTTTACTGAGTGATATAGAAAAACAAGAAGGTGAAATCTGGTAATATGGAGATTAGTATAATTGGGGCACTACTGTGTTTTATTCCAACAGTAAACAGTTGCAGGCACTACTAGAAATAGACTCAAGATCACCAAGGGCGTTATACTTTGTTCATGCATTAAACAAAAGGTCTGATTTACAAGCTTCACTAAAATGTGGTGCAGCAGCTAGATTCCTCATTTTAGGAATCAGTGGACTATCAGTGGAAGTCAAAGACTAAAGAGATGCAAACCAGTTTCTTCCCATGGCTCTCAAGGCAGCAGAGAATGGACAACATTTTTACAGTAATTAATAAAGAAAGGGAAAGTAAAACATAATCACTCAAGGAAATGTTCAGTGTTCTTTCCTTTGGATACTTCAAAAAAGACAGACAGACAACCAGATACATGCTGGATTAAAATGGACTAGAATCTGCATCTGTAAAATGGTCACAGATGTCCCAAAGTTCGCTGCTCTTCTGTCAGATTTCAGGAGCAGAGGAATTAGCCTCTCAGAGCCCCAATATCCCAACTCTGGCTCAAACTGCTATTCTCTTACCAAATTCTTTACAGAGTCTTCTTGCTTAGTACTACTTCTGGAGGGAAAAGGAAGAGAAATTTCACTTTTCAAAAGGAATTTTTGGCCATTTCCTCATCAATCAAAGGAAGATGGTCTAACAATTAGTTCCTATGGCAACCTATCACCTTAGTGTACTCAAAAATAGAAAGTGCCTATGTTAAATATGTCTACCTGATTTCAGGTCCATTGTTCATTAAATCAAGAAGGCATCAAAAGACCATTCAGACCAATGACAACCTTACCTCGCAATACTGTCCATGAATAGTCCTTGCATGGACCTAGTGTCACATAAGGATAAATTCTGCAAGATACATGGTATTACAAGTACATATCAGTTAACAAAGTCAATGTGTTCCTGAGCATTACCTCTTTAACAGAAAATGATACCAGAGGTGGAAATAACATAGGGATATTAAATATCCTAAAGGCACCAGATCCTCTGTGATCATGAAAGCTAAGCAGTGTCAGCTCGAGTTAGTACTTGGAGGAGTGACCATGAATGAATACCAGGTGCTAAAGGCAAGATGTCAGAGGAAGGAAGTGGCAAAAACACCTCTGAGTATTCCTTGCTTAAGAAAACCCTATGAAATTCATGGAGTCACCATAAGTCTATATGCAACTTGAAGCTACATGCACATACACTTACAACACACACACAAAAAGGAGTTTAACATGTTTCAGCTAACTCTTTATTCAAAACCAAATATATACACTTGAAATTAAACAACTAAGTCAGTAAAGCCTTGCATAAGTTTTGAACCTTCTAAAGACTTATTGGAAGCATCTTCCAACATGCATCCAGAGATGACATTGGAAGCTCTCGTATGCTTTCAAACTACTAGGTCATTTAATTCAGTATTGTTTATACACGGGAGGTACCCTTCCAGATGTTGTTAGAGTGCAATTCCCAGCATTCTTCACATTGGTTTTGTCTTCTGGGGCTGCTAGACCTACAGTTCAATGACATCTGGGGGGTTATACAATTCTCATCCAATGACTGACACCTGTTGCCCATTTAGAAAGGGATCTTTTTTCCACCACTACCTAGGACTGAACATGAAATCTGTAACAGAAAAGTCACATACTGGCTTCTGGCTTCTCTCTTTGTTTTCATTATTATTACTACTCTTGTGGTTGATGTCACAGTTTGATGTTTTCACATTGTTGTCCTGATGGCTCTGGTCTTCTTGGCTTATGTAACATGTACACATTTTGCTTGCAAGCAGAGATGCAGCAATGATTAGCCTGGTCCATCCATCCATCCCTTTATTTACATCCTGCCTTGTTGCCCAGCTGGGACTCAAGGAGGCTTATAAAAGAGAGAAAATTACAACAAAAACACATATGGTCAAGATCAGCCTGTCTTCTCTGAATCCATATGAACAGGCAATTACCTTTCACTTACATGTGAACTGTGCCCAACTAGTTGGACTTAATCCCCTGCACTAACAAGGTAGGAAACAAAGAGAAATTCTAAATAGGAAACTGATCCACAAAAAAAATGATATTGGTGGCAGCAGTGAAAGGACCACCAGCTATTTCTGCAAGCTGGAAATGTGCAGATACAGTATTCACAAGGCTTCTGAAGTTACAATCTGTAGCTATCTGGGAGTAATTGTTATTGACAAGGCAAACAGCAAGAGGGCAAAAACTATAGTCATTCCCTGCTGAATACCTCCCAGGAAATTCACCTCTCCACCCGCAGTTTTGTAAAGCAATACTGGGTTGGTGTTTGGAAACACATGCTTAATTCACCCATCCATCTAAAATTAGTTGTCTTTCAGTGTACAGAAAGAAAGTTTATGATCTTTTAAAAACAACCCATTACAATCCTAATGCACTGCATTCGAAGCTGCATAAAAGGAGAAGATCAAACAGAGCAACACCAAACATTGCTGTTTAACGCTACCGCTGTGGCTTAGATTTTATGAGACATGACTAGACTCATATTCTAAATGTGAATAGTTTTAGAGAACAGAAGTCAACTGGGACATCTGCTATTCAGGCTAATGAGTTTTACCTCCTGTTAACACAGCTAGCAACCTAAGTACACTAAGGGGAATCAGGCAGCTGTACCCTTACATTTAACAAATGAATTCATAATCTTTATTGCATGGAGTTGCAAATAAAGATATGAAACAGCAGTTCAGGATGAATCTGAATGGCAGTAGGATGTGGTTTACTGCTACTCCTCCGGAAGAAAATCAGTCAGCAAGTGGATTACATCATGTGCAGAGGCTTTTTAAAGCAGGTTTTTGAACTACACATATGCAGTTATCCTACACTTAGGGTAAAAAGTAAAGAAAGGCAAAGGCAGATGGAAAGTGTGCTTTGTTTCTTGCTTATATGCTTCATCACCAACATTTTTGTTCAGTTGGAGCCAGGAGTTTTGTTCCTAAACAAGATGATTCATTTATGAATCTGCCTTAGTTGAGCAACAACACAGTCTATTTATTTTTGCTGCCTTATTAAACTTGTGGCAATAAAACCGGTCCCTCCCAAATATTGTTTTTCTACCCTGTGTTCACAAAATAATCTTTGAATGTTTTCAAAGCTTCTACAAGGGTTTCTGATACCATGGTAAAAATTTCCATTCCAGAGCCCAATCTCTAATGCATAACATATGTATAATGTTCCCCATTTTCCAAGTGCATATTTAGTGCCCATCTACACACGGATGTTTAACTTGGAAAATGCCAGCCATACTATGGTATGATCCTAGCACAGGCTATCAATTTTGCCTACCACAATTTTGCAAAAGAATTATCGTAACTCCTATGCCTCTTGCAAGAAATAAGCACACTGAACTGAGAACTGGATCCTTTAAAAATCTACAGCAGGGGTAGGCAACCTAAGGCCCGGGGGCCGGATGTGGCCCCCTGAGGCCTTTGGACTGGCCCCAGTCCTGCCGCCGCCACCGCCCCCCCCCACCATGATGATATTGATTATTGTTGTTATTCTTGGGTTTTTCTTGGCAAAATCTCTACAGGGTTTTTGCCCTGGCTTTTCTGGGGCTGTTTTAATTTTTAATTTTTTTAAAAACTTATTTATTTATTTATTTTTGGTGCTTCGGCCCCCCCAATTTTCTGAGGGACAGCAACCCGGCCCTCGGCTCAAAAAGGTTGCCTACCCCTGATCTACAGCATGGAACTACCCTTATTTAGGTCATCCAGACCTGAAATTAGCACAAATTTGCAGTTATCCCAGTGCAAACCAGCTATTTTTCAGTGGTAGAAAGTTTGTTTTCTATGCTTAACTTAGGGGGGTTGCAGACTGCCAGAAATAGTGCAAATTGAGTCCACTTTTAGGGTTAGGGTTAGTGCTAGGGACTCATGGGATTTTTTTTCTGATACATTGAGCCTTCTTTGTCAGACAGCTCTGGTGCCACAATAAAATAGTTCCCATGATTCCCTAACCCTAACCCTAGAAGTGGACTCAATTTGCACTGTTTCTGGCAGTCTGCAACCCCCCTTACATATTTAGTCTAACACAGTGGTAGGCAACCTTTTTGAGCCGGGGGCCGGGTTGCTGTTCCTCAGACAATTGGGGGGCCGAAGCACCAAAAATAAATAAATAAATAAATAAATAACAATTAAAATTAAAATGTTGCATGCACACTCCCTCAGCCCCAGAAAAGCCATAGCAAAACCCCTGTGGAGATTTTGCCAAGAAAACCCCAAGAACAAGTAATAACAACAATAATCAATATCATCATGGTGGGGGGCGGTGGCAGCGGCAGCAGCGGCGGCAGGACCGGCCTGGGGCCAGTCCAAAGGCCTCGGTGGGC